GCTTCAAGTGTCTATTAATCCAGAGTTAGTAGAAAAGTCCTCTACTAGAGTTAGTCTCATAATCTTTCACAGTCAAATGAAAACCASTCAAAGCTGAAGTTTAGAAATACAATTTTATCTAGTGATACGAAATAAATAGTAGATTATTGATTTTATATTAAGATTTTCTCTCCCAGTTCGTTCCCATATGCTGAACGTCGATRTGGCGACTTTGTTTAACCCAGAGACAGAGGAAATGTTGAGAAAGTCTGTCGAGGACTGTGATGAGTGTTCCAAGAAAGTTGCTTTATTGACGACTAAAGGCGAAACAAAGTAGCGAATTTTTCTGCAACATTGGAAAGCTACAGATTYTATTGACTTATTCGAATTATGGCGGACAATTTAGATAACAATTTTAGCTTCCTTTTATTAGAGAAAAACATATTTTGCTTGCATCGCAACGCATGCAGGAGGATAGAAGTACAGGACAGTCCCATTCAGTTCCCTGCGGTACCTTGAAAGTTAGCCGTGACTGTCTGCGTCGAGAAGCAGGAAAGAAGTTCCAGCTTCACACCTACAGACAGTTTTTCATTTCATATCATATATATATTTACCTATCTTCGCAGACTCACTAGCTGTACCACTTCGATGCAAAGACGTGTTTACTTTTCAAGATATTACTGGGAACTGTGGAGAGAACWGTCATGTAAATTACCCGCCATTTTCCCAATAGGTATACAGTCCTTCATAAAGTAAATGTAGTGTCATATTTTTGCAAAACTTTTTTTGTGTGTAATATCATTTTGCATAGTTCCAAAATGTGATGCAATTCTTATAAAAACAATTGAAATATATTATGTAAAAAATAATAAAGAAATAAAATTAAAAAAAGCAAGAGGTGGGAGAACGCGACATGGCAAACACAGGGAAAGACGGGAACTGAGGTCAAGTAGGAAAAATCAATTAAGATTTACTGAAAACATGAGCCGAGTTGAATTTCGGTTTTAACAATTCTTAGAAGGTCATTATAACAAATACATTTAAATAACAAAATGAAATGAAAAAGACAAGAATTATGTGTAATTCAAAAACGTTTATTTTCTTTTTATACAATATTTTCATTTTTGTCATTTTTAGTATTTCATTTACTTTTGACGAAGTATGTTCATATAAATATTCAAAATCTAAAAATCCATTTCCCGCCCCGAAACAAAAACACACGTGTTGCGACCTTCAATTGAAACATTCGTTTCCATGGATTTTGACTTTTATGTGCTGTCAATCATGCAAGTAAACAATCTATCATAAACGCCTTCTTATGCAAACTTCGCTTATACAAAATCCAAATAAAAATCAATAGTGAAAGATCGCGATACGAGTGTTTTTTGTTGGAAAACACATTGTAAGTCGTTTGACTCCTTACATATTTTGTTTTGTTGTAGTATGCCCCTGAGACAAAGTAATCATGTATTTTTTTGTATTTTTCTTAAATAGACACCGCCATTTTTCTTTCTTAAGGGTGTATCCAACTCAAACTAGAGTAGGTGCACCTTACCCGTGAATATTTATCAGACTGCTTGTTGCAGTTGCTTGATCTACTGCTTACTCATGAGCTCCATGCCTTCACTCTAAAGCATTGTTTTAGGACAGTGTTCACACTTTTCTCACACGTTTTCTACTGTTTATAATTATTTACACTATTCACATGACAGTTTGGAACATTTTAAGACTATAGGGCAGTCAACATAACTTATGTCAGTAACTTTGATTCAAGATGAATCGGACGAGTAAATCAAATCGATAGAAAAACTGCACCAACTCAATTTAACTGCAAGAAAACAGTTCAAACCTATTGTCGTTAATCAAATCGAAAGATAAAATTGACGCATGTCTTAAAAAAGTCATTAAAACGATTTAAACGCCATTCAACTCAGTTCACGACTAGATTCATCCAATCCCTTGGGAGAATTTTTTTTTTCCTTTTTGTGTGGCCATCGATGATGATTATGTATCATTTTGACAAAGAAAGATACATGTAGATAAATTAC